GGCTGGATTTGAACCCTTCACCTTATGTGTATGTGGCTGGCGCCTTAGCCACTTGAGCCACAGGCACTGAGCTGTGGTTGCTTTTGAAATGAAGCCACCAAGGCACATGAGGTTGCTGACTTTCCAGGGATACACAGCCATGAGTGGCAATCCAGATTTCAGACCCAGCTTGCCCCAACTTCTCCCCCTCATTCCTTTTTCTCGTGCTGGTTATGTGCAGGGGTCGGTGGCTAAGTGCTTCTTTGGTGACCGCTGCCGATTCCTGCATGATGTGGGCTGCTACCTGGAGACAAAGCCAGCTGATTTGGGCCCCCGCTGTGTGCTATTTGAGACCTTTGGCAGGTGCCCTTATGGTGTGACCTGCCGCTTTGCCATGGCACATCTGGGGCCAGAGGGCCAGAACTTGGTACAGGAGGATCTGGTAGCCCGCTGGGCCCGCCTCTCACCCGTTGTCTGCAATGGCCTGGATAAAACTCTGCAGCAGCAGCTGCGGAAGCGTAAGATCCACTTTGAGCGAGCAGAGAAGACCCTGCGCCAGCTAAGCCAGGACTCCCCACCTGCTGCAGCTCTCCGTGAGGTCACAGCAGCTGAGGGTGCTCCAGGGCACTCTGAGTCCCAGGAGGAACTTTCATCCCTGGCCACTGGCACCCCTCCCCCTCCAGTGCGGACCTGTGGGCCTCTGACGGATGAGGACATCATTAGGCTGCGGCCCTGTGAGAAGAAGCAGGTACGTATCATGGCTCTCTATTGAGGGTGATGCTAGGAGCACACTTGTCTATTCAGCTTGTGTCAGTTAGGCACTAGCTATATCCAGGTTTCTATTCTAGATGCATGGGAGCTAAAGGTTATGCTCTTGAGGATCTCTCTGCTGCTACTTCCTCTCTGTGCTCTGTTCTGGACTCTCCTTGAACAGAGAGCCCAGTGTAGGGTGCAGAAAGAGCTGTACATACATTATCAGTCCCAGAGAGTCACACCTTGGCAGATGAAAATAGTATGGAAAAGAGGGCATTTGGGATTGGGGGTTTGATGATTGTGTAGACGCTCTCCAGTAGAAGAGAATACAGGGAAAAGAACATTCCTTATAAAGGGATCAATTGGCAGAAGCCCATAGGTGAGAAGGAACCAGGCCAGTCCAGGCAGGGCAAAGCATGTCCTAGATTCTGGGGAGAAGGGAGGCCACAGAGGCCTCAGAAGCTGGGTTGGAGGATTGAGCTTTGCTGACATGTTTTTTCCCCTTGCAGCTGGATATCAGTGGCAAACTGTATCTGGCCCCCCTTACCACGGTAGGACATGGGTGGGCAGCTGGCTGATGGGGTGGGCTGAATAGCAGTGTGGTCCCTCAGATAGTGCTGAATGTTTGTCTCTACCTGCTGGGTCTTGGGGCTGGGGTAGGCATCTGGGGTCCCTCCTCACCATGCACTAGTGTGTTGTCTGTGTTCTCTTACTCCCAGTGTGGGAACCTGCCCTTTAGGCGGATCTGTAAACGCTTTGGGGCAGATGTGACCTGTGGGGAAATGGCTGTCTGCACTAACCTCCTGCAGGGACAGATGTCTGAGTGGGCTCTGCTCAAACGCCACCAGTGTGAGGATATCTTTGGTGTTCAGGTCAGTGCCCACTTGCCTTGAGGGGCCTCAATCACTGTGATTCCCAGCCGGGTTCAACGTCTGCCTTGATTGCTTCCTTGACCAGCTATGGGGTGATAGCCCGATCCATCTCCAAGGGCTGATGGCCTTAGCTGGGGGATGGTGCTTTCCAGAGAGGCCCAGGGAGAAGAGCCTGTGGGCTTAGGATACCCCAGGGGACAAGGAACAGCCAGACAGGGAGGGTTTGGATATGTCTCTCACCTCCTGCCCTGCCCTGCCACAGTTGGAGGGTGCCTTCCCTGACACCATGACCAAGTGTGCCGAGTTGCTGAACCGCACCATTGAGGTGGACTTTGTGGACATCAATGTCGGCTGCCCCATTGACCTTGTGTACAAGAAGGTAGCAGCAGCTCAGCCTTGGAGCCCTAGAACAGGCATGGCTAGCGTGGGGTGGATGGGGGCCTGGGACCCAGCAGTGCCACTTTCTGTGCCTTGTGAATTTGTGTCTCGGTTTCCCATCTGGATAGGGCACTGAGCCTGCAAGTGATGTGTTAAGTGGTGGGTCAGTGATTTGGGGACATGTATGTGGCCCTGGGGCGCCTGCTCTTTGTTTGCATCTCTGTCTTCTATTTGGGAGGCTGGGGGCAGGGTGAGGGCTGTGAGGCTCAGCCTGCCCACTTGTGTCTCCCAGGGTGGGGGCTGTGCCCTCATGAATCGCTCCACTAAGTTCCAGCAGATCGTCCGTGGCATGAACCAGGTAGGACCAAACTAGCATCCCCGTGTTTACCCGCAATGACTCTGGACTCTGCTGACCATACTTTCCCACTGACCCACAGGTGCTGGACGTGCCACTGACGGTGAAGATCCGCACTGGTGTCCAGGAGCGTGTGAACTTGGCACACCGCCTGCTGCCTGAGCTGTGGGGCTGGGGTGCGGCCCTTGTCACGGTGGGTCTCAGGGCACGTGGGCATCTGGGCCTCGGGGTGCCCTGTGTCTCCTCCTAACAGCCCCTCTCTTCCTGTTCTTCCCTCTGTCTCTGTCTCCATCTGCCACTTGCCTCTGTCTCTGTCTTTATTTCTCAGCCTGTCTCTCTCCATCTTTTTCTCTCTGCCTCTCATTTACTCTGCCTCCCTCCCTGTATGGTGGCTTCTCCCCTAGCTCCATGGCCGTTCTCGGGAGCAACGTTACACCAAGCTGGCCGACTGGCAGTATATCGAGCAGTGTGTGAAGGCAGCCAGCCCCATGCCTCTGTTTGGTGGGTGCCCTGTCCTCTGCAACTCAAGGCTATACACCCTCCTAGGACTTCTTCCCATCAACCTATTTATTGGTTGAGCACAAACTAAAAGAGCTGCCGGCATGCCCCCACCTGCAGCTCCCTGAGACCACAGCCTCTGTCCCCTCAGGAAATGGGGACATCTTGTCATATGAGGATGCCAACCGCGCCATGCAGACTGGTGTTGCTGGGATTATGATTGCCCGGTAAGTGCCCAGTGAGGATGCAGAAAACCAGTTTGAGCCTCTCAGAGTGCCCAGTCTTGGCGGGGAGAGAGCAGGCGCTCCAGAACATGACATGCTCTTGCCCACCTCTGCTCTGTGTTGTGCTGTTTGTTCTGGGACAGGGATTAGGGGTTGGAGCTAATAGAGGAAGAGGGGAATGGAAGTTTCTGCAGCTATGGGATCTGATATCTGTGGGTTTAAGATTCTGGGTTCTGAGTCAGGCTCACATCTATAATTCTAGCACTCTGGGATGCTGAGGCTGGTGGATTGCTTGAGCTCAGAAGTTCAAGACCAGCCTGAGCCAGAGTGAGACCTTGTGGTGGGTGCCTGTAGTCCCAACTACTAGAGAGGCTGAGGTTGAGCCCAAGAGTTTGAGCTTGTGGGCTGTGACACCATGGCACTCTAACGAGGGTGACAAAGTGAAACTGTTTCAAAAAAAAAAAAAATGCTGGGTTTGAAGGTCAGGTGACCACGACCAGGTGTCTTAGGCCTATAGGTTTTGGTCTGTGCTCTGTTGACCACTGCCTGCCCCACAGTGGCGCCCTGCTGAAGCCTTGGTTATTCACGGAGATCAAGGAGCAGCGGCACTGGGACATCTCGTCATCTGAGCGCCTGGACATCCTGCGGGACTTCACAGACTATGGCCTGGAGCACTGGGGCTCTGACACGCAGGGTGTGGAGAAGACACGGCGCTTCATGCTTGAGTGGCTTTCTTTCTTGTGCAGGTGGGCACCAGGGCCCACAGGTTGGGAAGCATGTGGGCCAGGCCCAGCAGGGGCTGGCTCAACCCTGACCTCACCATCCATCTGTTTATAGGTATGTGCCCGTGGGTCTGCTGGAGCAGCTCCCACAGAGGATCAATGAGCGCCCCCCATACTATCTGGGCCGTGACTACCTGGAGACTCTGATGGCCAGTCAAAAGGCTTCTGACTGGATCCGCATCAGGTGCCAGGGGGTAGGGGGTTGAGGGGCTGTGGTATGTGGTGTGGGTTTTGCCATGAGGGGGGCTGTGCCTCAGCTCCCAGCCTGACTCTGCCTCCTGCTTGCCCTCCCTACAGTGAGATGCTCCTTGGACCAGTGCCCCCCAATTTTGTTTTCCTGCCAAAACACAAGGCCAATGCATACAAATAGCTGTGGATGCCAGGGTCGGGCGGAGGCCTTCTGAGGACCCCCCAAGTAAATGGAGGAGGACAATAAATTTTATTCTCTTAAAATCCAGGCCTTTCTGTGATTTGCGGCTGCCACTTCCTGGTCCCCCCCAGAACTTGCCCTTTGGCTGCTCCTTCCTCCTGATTTGGTCACTCATTTGTGGAGGCTCCTGGCCACCCCCATGCGCCCTTGACTGGGAGGAAGGAAGTAGGGTGTGTAGGCTGGGCAGGCTTGGTCTGCCTGGGTGTGGATTAGGGCAGCCTGCCTGGAGGAGGCAGCTTCACAGCTGTTAAATGGGTATTGCTGGAAAAGGCAGAAGGCAAGGAACCTCACTTCAGGTCCATTTGTCCTGTGGGCACCCCGTCTGTTCCCTGGGCCACTCCCACACCCGGAACTCTGACCAGTGTGTGGGCTGTGGCCTGGAACCCTCTGCTTGGAGTAACCAGGCAAACAGAACTCTATGGGACTCTGAGTCTGTTCTCTGGGTGAGCTACCTGTGCTCCCTCCTGACCTGCCAGGCAGGGCCACCACCACCTCCCTATGCAGCACCCCAAAACCTTCTACGCACCTGCAGCTCCCCAAGAAGGCTTCGGGCCTCGGGGTCTGGAAGGTGCTGAGGGGCTGGGCAGCCAGCCTACTCCTGCCTGTGCAGAGCCTCCTCCTGCTGTGGGTACGAGCTGGGGTGAGCAGGGTGCCCAGCAGGATGGGGGCCCAGGGCTCTTGCCCACCAGCCCCAGGGACCCACCCACCCTGGCACCTTTGTCCACAGGCTCTGCGACCCTGTACCACCCCGAAAACAAAGAGAAAGAGGTGTTTCCAGCCCCCCCAGCAGGTACTGACCTTCCCTCCCCCTCCTTGATGAGCAAGTAGCTGGGAACAGGTTAGCATGGGAGGGACCCTTCCTGCCCCTGACCCCTCTTTATGGGACCCCAAGGGCAAGGTCTGTGTCTCCCATTCCCTGTGATGAGAATCACAGAGATAAGATCTGGCTCTGCCGTCCCCAAGGCCTTCCAAACAGTATCTATTTCTGTCTTTCCCCAAGTGTGCACCTAAAGGTGAGAGTCACATTCCTGTCTCCCAGACAGGCCTCTAAGGCAAGGCCTTTGTTCCCTGTGGCCCTGACCGCCCCCCAGGTGTGGGCCCTGCCTCCCCAGGCAGGCTGTGGGGCCTCAGGGTGGTGCCCTGCAGCTGCTCTCAGGGCCCCACCCCGGCCTGCAGGTTTCCAGATGGCCCCCTGCGGGTGCTTCTTTGACCCTCGAATCTACCGGATTGAGTGGGCCACCACTGACTTCGGCCAGTCGTCCCTGTACAAGCTGGTGGCAGCGGGCAGCGTGGGGCCTGCTGGGGGGCCCACCTCCCCTGGCAGCTACCTCCTGGAGCCCCAGCACTACCTCAAAGCCCCGGGGCCACCCCCACAGACCCCATACTCCCATTATCAGCCGGTGCCTGGAGGGGCCCAGTACCTGGTACCCTATTTCCCCCCTGAGGGGCCTGGCCCAGAGGCCCTGGGCTTTGTGGGGGATGGAGGGCCACCTGCATTTGTGGAACTGGCCCCCGTAGCCCCCAAGGAGAACAAGGTGGCCCCAATTGTCATCACACTCCCCCAGGAGCCCACACTGCCCCCTAGCACCTACGGCCACCTCAAGGGCAACTTTGGCCAGTTCCCAGGACCTGAGGCCTTTCCTGCCAAGGAGCAGCCGTTCTCGCCCAGCCCTGGTGAACCAAAGATGGCTGAGGCCCAGGAGACGGCTCCTCTGGGAGCAGGTGAGGCCAAGGCCCCTGAGGCAGCCAGAGCCTTCGCGCTTCCTGACAAGGTGTTGCTGGAGGATGCCATGAAGCTCTTTGACTGCCTGCCAGGCAGCACTGAGCCCGAAGGGACACCCATCAAGGCCCCCTGGCCTGCCCTGCCAGAGAGCAGTGATGGCAGCGGTGGTGGTGACGACTCAGCCAGTGACATCCGCTCACTGCACCTGCCGGATGAACTGCTGTCCTTTGACTATAGTGTACCTGAGATCCTGGACACTGTGTCCAACGTGGACTGCTTCTTCAACTTCAGGGCGCTGGATGACGAGCCGCTGGCCCGTCCAGGGCTCCGCTCTGTGGTTGCTGCTGCTCCAGTCCCACACAGCAAGAGGAAGACTGGCTCCTCTGCTACCAAGAAGGGGAGGCTGGCTGGGAAGGGCAAACAGCCCGCAGCCCCAGCTAGCGCTGCATCCCTGGGGCCCAGGCAGGACCTGGGCGCTGTCTCCCATTAAAATATGTTTGATCTCTCAGCTCCACCTCCATTCAGGGCCTTGGGTTGCGGGTGGTGTGTGGGAACTGGATATGAATGCCTATCCCCTTGCCCTGTTGTCCAGTGGGCAGGCAAGGTTTGTTCCCCAGGCCTCATAGAGAGGCTTCCAGAGCCAAGCAGGGCAGCCTTGGCATCACAGGGCTCCCTATACCCCCTCATCTCTCAGCCCTGGAGAGTCAGACTGTACGGCAGAGGTAGGAGGCCTAATTGCGTTGTAAGGATTTTCATACCCTCATGTTTGGTGGGGGAAGGCAAGCTGCCCAGAGAGGGCAGGAACTTGGTTGGAGGTACACAGCAAGCAGGACAGGCTCTGGGAGTGGCCCAAGTGGACTCTCCTGTACCCCAAGAAGCTACTGCTGGTGGAGGGTGGGTTGAAGAGCTATCTTTGCAGTGCCTTGAAGGGGCCCCAGGGTCTTGGGCCACAACCCAGCTGCCAGTGGTGGGGAATATGGATGCTAAGGGTCTGAGGGTGGAGGCCAGTGCTGGTGTGTGTCAGGGATCTTGAAGGCACTGCTCACACATCAAGGAGCCATGCTTAGAGGGTAGGAGGGCGTGGATAGCACACAGGGGCCCCAAGCAGGCACACCTGAGATGGGAACATGCAGACAGCACCTAGGGGCCAGGGGTTGACGAGCCACACCAGGGATCTGGATCTTAGAGGGGTGAGAGACAGCCCAGTCACTGCTGGTTCTGAAACAGAGTAGGTCTAGCCTAGGAAGAGCAGGATGACTCCAGAGAGTTGGTGGCCTTCCAAGTTGACCCACATGCATGTTGTCACCTGCCTCTCTGGAGGAGCAAGCAGACCTTGCCTTGAAACACTCAAGGTGACCCTGACCCTGGAGAGGCTGGCCTCATTTCCCAAGGAACATGCAAGGAAACAGGATGTAAAGTATCATCGAGCACCTCCTCTGAGGACACCTGTCTGGGATGGATTTCCCAAGCCTTCAGTGCATGGGCTTTGACAGAGTCTGCTGGGGGAGTCCAGGAGATGTGGGTGGTGAATTTTGGGGCAAAGTTAGGCACCTGCCACCTGCTCTCTATGGCTGCTCTTGTGGAAGCCTTTTAGTCAAAAATTCAGGGAGGTGGAGACAGTGTCTGTGCTGCATAGCTGCTGCCACTATGGTGGGGAGCCCAAGACCCAGGGCCTGTGCTGTGGGCTGCCCTGGCCTCTGCATTACCCCTGCTGGTCCCATGTTGTCACATGTAGGCTTGGAGAGCCCCTCCTCCCTGCAGCCTCATAGGAGTGTCTTTGAAAGGGAAACCAAAGTCTCAAATGAAGGGGAGGCTTAGCAAATGAGGTGGTTGGGTAAACACAGAGTGAGGGTCACAGGGCAGATGCTTGCCAGGGACCTGGCCAGCAGCTTTCAATGAACAGCACCAATAGGAATGGTAGATAATGGAATGATTACAAAAACGACTTTTTTGGTGGGGAGTGTTAGATTAAGTGAATTACAAAAAACTGAAAAAACGGCTCGGCCCCCTTAGCTCAGTGGCTAGGGTGACAGCCACATGCATTGGAGCTGGCGGGTTTGAATCCAGCCTGGGCCTGCCAAACAACAGTGATAACTACAACCAAAAAAAAGAAAAGGTAGCTGGGCGTTGTGGCAGGCGCCTGTGGTCCCAGCTGCTTGGGAGGCTGAGGCAGGAGAATTGCTTAAGCCCAGGATTTTGAGGTGGTTGTGAACTGGGACAACACGGCACTCTACCCAGGGTGACATAGTGAGACTCTGTATTAAAAAAAAAAAAAAAGGAAAAAGAAAGAAAAGAGCCTGTAAATGGCCCAGTCCTAAGGTGAGCTTGATCAGGACAGGCCCCAAAGCCCCGGCTGGAGAGAGACATGGTGCTCTGCCCATGAGCCTGGAGACAGAGTCCAGGGGACCATCCTGTTCCCCAAAGGCCTGGCTGGAGGGAAACACGGTGCTCTGCCCATGGGCCTAGAGACAGAGTCCAGGCAACCTGCCTAGCATGTGCAACTACTGGGTAGTGGCCTAGCAGTGCCTGTCCAGGAAGGACTCACCTTGCCCCAACCTACTTCCACACAGTGCACTCAGGACCCTAGATGCTCCTATTGGGCAAGAGGGTCAGAGGACAGTCCCCTGAGTAACCTCAGGATGGGGCAGAGCTGGCTCCACCAGGGAGAGCCATGTAACTAGTCACTGCTTTATATATGGCAGTGGAGGGTTGTAATTAGACTGAGGCTCTATGGAACAATTATAAATGACCACAGAGTAAATGAATGAATGAATAAATAAATATATATGTGTGTGTATATATATTTATATATATAATTTTTTTTAACTAAGAGTAATGAGAAGTGGGACCCTGCCCAAGTTTTTACTGAATAGTAGATATTACCCATGCTGAAATGACAACTGATTTTCAACAAAAGTACAGAGGCAGTTCAGTAGAAAAGGAAGAGTCTTTTCAGTATATTCATATAAACAGGAAACCCAGCTCATACTTTACACTGTAAACAATAAGAACTCAAAATGGACCACAGATCTAAAACTATAAAATTTCTAAAAGGTAGGCAAAAACATTCGTAACTTTGAGCTAAGCAAGATTTCTTAGACATATCATGAGCTTACGTAATGAAAAATGATAAATTTGATTTCAACAAAAATTAAAGTATCTGCTCTTTAAAAATCACAGTTAAGGAAATAAAGACAGGTCAAAGCCTGGGAGAAAATATTTGCAAAGCTTGTATCAGGTAAACAATGTGCATGTAGAATATACACACAGTGCTCTAAAAATTTGATTTTAAGACTGGGTGCCTATGGCTCAAGTGGCTAAGGCGCTAGCCACATACACCTAAGGTGACGGGTTCGAATCCAGCCTGGGCCTGCCAAACAACAATGATGGCTGCAATAAAAAAAAAAGAAATAGCCGGGCGTTGTGGCGGGCGCCTGTGGTCCCAGCTACTTGGGAGGTGGAGGCAGGAGACTCGCTTGAGCCCAGGAGTTG